CAGAACTAGATTAGGTGACTCTGTTTGGGTAGCAATCTCCTTGCGAGGCAGAAAAATGCGTTTTCCGTTCAGTGTCTTCTGCAAGAGCATTCATGATTATTTTCGACCTCGGACCATTAACGATGGAATGATATAGGCGTATGCACGAAGACAAATAAGAGTGAGAGACCAAGATACTAGTTCAGTAGAAATTTGGTTTCAGAAGATTGACATTCATTGTCTTTTTAGCGAATAGTAGCCCAGTATGGAGGCTAACAAGTCATGGGTGGAAATAACCAGGATAATGATAGCACAGAATGCGGTGCAAGGGATGTATTAGAACTGCGACTACGTTGTGAAAACATGGTAGGACTAATTATATTATCTCTAAGGCCAATCAGAACCACGATAAATCAAAAATGAAATAATATATTTTCAGATATTTCTGTCAACACTTGATCAGGAGAGAATGCTTGATATAATCTTGATCTATTGTATTTGAGAATTCATAAAACAATCCTTTCCATTCCCCATTATACCGGGACCAGATCAAGCTTCCCACTCAAATTCGATGCCGACCCAGAAGTCTGTTCAAACCAGCGTCTTAACAACGGGCCAGAAGCATGGAGCCCGTCAAGAGGCGTCAGAAGCCAGACAGCTAACATCAACGTCTGGTACTATGCGAAGGCAGAACAAACGCTCACAGAACGTTGACAACCTGACGCCAACCAACAACCGAGGGGTGGGTGAGTTGGGCTTTCGTACCGAGAGGGGCGAACAGGCTTCCGCGTATGTCACAGCTGGCAGTCTGCGAAATTTCGCCTCTACTGATGACCTCAAGATGCGCTCAATATGGCAGCAGCAACAGCAGCACCATCAACAACAGCACCATCAACAACAGCACCAACACCAGCAACAGCAACAGCACCAGCAACAACAACCGAATAATCTTCAACCCCTGGCATTGCATCAGCTGCAACTGCCTCAGCAACCATATCAGCAGCAGCAGCCGCAGCAGCCGCAGCAGCAGCAGCAGCAGCATCAACAACAACACCAGCAGCCGCAGCCACAACAGGAAAACCAGACACGAGAATTCGCCAGTTTTGAGCCGTATCCGAGCAAACAGTTTGTGCCAACCCTGGTCAGTTGGTCATCACGTCTGGGAGAGTAAGAGCCTTTACCACGATATTTTTTTCTAAATCCTGTCTTGCTTGGTCGAGGTTTCGATCCATTCGTTCGGATAAGTTTTCTATTTTCTTCTGATGTATGTTCATTGCTTAGCTGTTTTCAGGCGTCACCTTGCGAATGAATGAAGGAAGAGCAACATTCCAGTGACCAGGCCTTTTCTCCATCACTGCGTAACAAACTAAAAAAACATAGAAGTGGGTTGACCTCGTTGTCGCAACTTGGTCTTGTTTTCAGGGAGACCATGTAGAACGCAC